CCCCCAACTCTCTCAGCCTGTCCTCGCACAGGAGCTGCTCCAGCCTCAGACCATCTCCGTGGCTCCTCTGGCCCCACTCGAGATTTTTAGCAGCCAAAGGGCATTTTGTAGTGGCCAAGGGGCATTTTTTAGCCACCGAGGGGCAGTTTTCAGCTGCTGAGGGGTGTTTTTAATTGCTGAGGGGTGGTTTCTAGCCACCAAGGGTTGGTTTTTAGATGCTGTTGGGGGGGTTTTTAGCCACCAAGGGGTGTTCTTTAGCCACTGTGGGGTGTTTTTTAGTTGTCAAGGGACGATTTTAGGAGCCAAGGGTTGGTTTTTAGCCGCCGAGGGGTGTTTTTTAGCCACTTTGAGGTGTTGTTTAGCGATTGAGGGACAGTTTTTAGTAGCTGAGAGGTGTTTTTTAGTGGCTGAGGGGCGTTTTTTAGTGGCTGAGGAGCGGTTTTTATGCACCAAGGGCTTTGTTTTAGTGGCTGAGGGGTGGTTTTTATCCACTAAGGGCTGTTTTTTAGCAGCTGAGGGGTGGTTTTTATCCACTGAGGGGTGTTTTCTCTCCGCCAGGCGCTTTGGATGACAACGAGAGCGTGCACATGCGAATCCTCCAGACCATCTACAAGAAGCTGACCTGCTCCAGGCTGGGCTGCCCGCGCTACGGGGCTCACTGGGAGGAACTGGGCTTTCAAGGTAGAGCAGAGAAATTCCAGAGCAAATCTTTGCCAAGAGAGATCATGCCGGTCCCTCCGGGGACGGTGACTCTGCCACTTCCCTGTCCCAACGCTTGAGAACCTTCTCAGTGACGGGATCTTTCCTGATATCCATCTGAACCTCCCCTGGCGCAACTTGAGGCCATTTCTTCTCGTCCTCGTCCAGTTCCCTCGGCCGCTTCTCCTAAAATTTATTTTCCAGACCCTTCCCCAGCTTTGTTGCGCTTTGGACGTGCCCCAGCACCTCAGTATCTTGTCGTCAGGGGCCCAAAACCCAACCAAACGTCCAAGGAGCGGCCTCAGATCAACGCTCCTGGCCAAATTGGCCTTGTCCAAGTGTGGACTCGGTCCCCTCGTCCAGATAATTTATAAAAATTAATCAGAACTGGCCCCAACGCTGAGCCCTGGCTCTGGAGCAGCTCCAGCTGCCGCCACCAGTCCAACATCCAGACTGGTTGCCCAGCTCACACCAGTTAACCCTCGTTAACACCCCCGTGGAAGCGGCCACGGCACCCACGCGGCTCCACGTTGGGAAATTCCCCAAAACTTTCCCTCGGGATGTGATTTGCTGGAGTTCCTCCGCTCGTGAGACACGGTGACGGGGTTTAACCAGCCCCCAGAAGCGGGAAGGTGACAGGGGCAGGGTAGAAAGAGCCCGAGGTGACTGTCCCTTGCCTCACCAGCCTGTCCCCACGCTTCCAGGCGCAGACCCAGGGACGGATCTCCGCGGGACGGGGATGCTGGGCCTGATGCAGATCCTTCACTTCGTCACGGACGCGCGGACGCTGCCTCTGGCTCGAGAAATTTTCAAATTATCACAGCACGAAACCCAGGCACGTCCTTCCCCCCCTGTCTGCTTACCCCCTGCTGTGGGATCTCCCAATTTATTCCTCGCGCTCAGGGAAGGGGAAGCGCAAAAATCTTCTCTTCGGAGGCAGGGTTTGACTTTTTTTTTTGCTGCTTAATCCCCTCCCTGAAGAGCTGGGCTGCGATGGAAGGCTGGAGCAAAGCTCCAGGTGTTGGGCTTAGTCTGGGAATAAAATTTGTAGCATCCCATCTGAGCCGCGATTTTCCCCCTCCGAGGTGCAATTTTTCCCATCCGAGG